GTATCTGCCTGTTTATTTTCACACACACCCTTATATTATGCATGATCAAAACCTCCACATTTATGATTATGCAGTTAGGATAAATTAACAATGTTTCATAAAGTCAACCAACTATACACTGAAGCTTCAGTGTCTGCAACATGGCAACCTGTGTGCATATCAGCTCGCGGGAGGAGATGAGTGGGAGAGACGGCTCTCTCCAATGCTTCAAATTTTGACTGCAGTACCAATTTGAAATTCTAGGTGTCAGATTTACATATTGCTCCTTTAATTGGATTCTGTGTTTATTTGCAAACAAAAGTTTGTTCCAAGGTAGTCATCGGAGACACATGTAAAATGTGGTGATGTGGCCAGGTGGAAACAGCTTTGCTCGTCATGTACAGTTGTGATTAGCAAGGACACTTTGCTAGTACCAAGTGTTCGACCTCTCCCTCCCTCCCTCCCTCCCTCTCTTGGTTGGCATTGATGAGCAGTTGTCCTCAAGATAATCTCCACTCTAGCTTCATCACCACTTTGAGCTACATTCCAACAGGTAACTTCTTGATTATTGTCCTCTTCACTAACACTGAGATAGGGTTCAAATAAAAAAGGCTTAAAGTACAACACTCAAGTACTGTAGTGAAAGAGAATGGGAAAAAGCACAGTGGAACCATTTGACTTCACTACTCAAAATGTCTTAAATGTTGAAGTCTAGTGTGTATTTTTGTACAACTTACTGAGAAAATAGAAGTGTTTATGAAAAAGGTCAACATGTCTTAATATGTCGCACACTCCTGCAGTTTACCCTTCACTGTAGCATTGCTTTTTCTTTTTTCATCAGGGGGAGAGAGCTGCTTCTCTCCCCCTGATGCCATTAAAGCCTGATGTGTGTGACAAATTGTGCTGTGTCATGACCATGGCTGCTAATGGGTGAGACCTCCCTCTATGCTGTTCAAGATGGCTGCCTTCCAAGATGATGACCATGAGAGTAGACAGGAACTGGGGGGTCAAGGACAGGTCAGCGAGACATAAATGGATGCAGGTATATCTGAGTGGAGGATTAGTCTTTATTTTTGTGTCTGTCCACACATCAGTCTGTAGTAGTCCTCTCTGTCTCTGTGTGTCTGTTATAATTGCTGCACTCACATCCCTCCTGCAGACTCATGAAATTCAGATGAGTTGAGTATTTCTTAAACTCAGCTGTGTGGATCAGAGGATGCAGCTGTGAGCAGCAGCCCCCACGCCCTTCTCTCGCTCTCTCTCTCTCTCTTTCTCTCTCTCTCTCTTATCTTTTTGTCTCAACACATTTCTCGTTAACCTCTTATTGATTCTCATATATCATTGTGTCGCCCTTGTTGCTGTACATTTGATCGTGCTGTTTTAAGTGCAGACTCAGACACCCTGGTGGGGGATTCCTCTTTGATTATTTAAGCTGACAGGTTCTTTCTCTTCCTCTGAAGTGATGAGTGAGACTTTCTTGTGTTCACGAGGTTGGCAAGGTATGCCACTTTCTGCAATACTATATGTCTATTGTGCTCAGTTGTCTTTTTGAATGTGTTTTTTTTTAATGATTAATACATTGTCATATCTTACCTTTACCTGTTTTGTCTCTTGATTACTCATAAATATCACCTTTTTTCGTCAAGTTTTACTGGTCTCATTATTGCTCCCTGAGGACAGAGTAACAGCAGGATGGGAAATTAGCATTAGCACCACTGGTGAAATATGGAAGTGGCCGTTATATTTCAGAAACAAAATAACAAGTTATCACTGAACAGGTTTCAACACCAATACAGAGCTGGTTAAACACTGAAGCTTCTGAACTAATTGTGGATCTGAGAGGGAAAGGCAGCGATGACCACTGTTCCCATGGCAACCTCAATACCCATCGACCTTAGGGAGGAGGGTGGAGACTTTTCATATGGACTGCAATATGAATTTAAAACACTAGGTGTCAGAGCTACATATTGTTCCTTTAATAAAGCAACTTTTTAAAGACTGATTAAGTTTGTCATTTGATTTTGTTTGGTAACATTGATTATACATATCAGATAGTAGTAGTATTAATATAATATGTATATAGGATATGATATTAAAGACTATGCTAGCTACCTAGTAAAGTGACAGCATTGTCTGTTTAAAGTTTGTATAGATTTTTAAACCTCTGAGACTAAATTCAAAGTTCTCCATACATGCAGGTAGGCCTACATATTAAGCAATGACTAAACCTAATTACATTAACAGAGGATACTATACTATTCCTATATAACGCACTTTTGTATATTTCCACTCAGAAGAAATGACCGTTCCTGTTTGTGTTCTCATTTGACTGATTTTGTAAATATTTTCCTCATATATTGCGTCATTTCTATTGTGTCTATCTTTTAGTCAGATTTTTAAAGTATCTCATTCAAATTCAAATTCAAAAAACTTTATTTGTTTATTTGCAATTCAAAGGCACACAGAGCAGTAAATTAACAACAGTGCAAGTAGATGAAATATTTTAACCTAAATATAAAGTGTCAATTTAAATACAACTTAAAGCTTAAACTTAACTTAAAATACAAAATATAAAAAGAGTAGATATGAGTGGACAGTGATCGGACTATCAGATGTAAACAGATGTAAACAGAACTATGTGCAGTAAACGAGAAATAAATATATATATATATATATATATATATATATATATATATATATATGTAGAGAGAGAGAGAGAGAGAGAGAGAGAGAGAGAGAGCTATCTAGAAGATGTACGGCTGAAAATGACACTGCTTAAGTCATGAGGTGTTTGAAATTGTTAATGTAAAAAAAATAATGGGCAGTGAAAAATAACTAAATAGAAATGCTTAAAGGAGCAATATGTAACTCTGACACAAAATGGGCACTGCAGTCCAAATTCAAAACATTCGAGAAAACTGTCTCCCGCCGCCCCCTCCTCTCTAGAGGAGGGGGCGGCCCCCACAGGTTGCCATGTTGCAGACACCAAAGCTTCGGTGTTTAGCCAGCTTTTTCTATGTTCTAACCTCTCTCCATTTTTCAAAGCATCTATATTTGTCCTACTTCTACCACGTTTGTGGTTGTGGAGCTAATTAGAAAAATGCTGAGGCTTTTTAGGTTGAGTAGAATCGGTTTTATCTGAACAGGTTCTCTTAACTGCTCTAACACCTGTTGGTTTGCCATTTACCTGGCAAAGCGGGGGTGTAAATAATGGCCGTGTAAGGGTGCCTTAAAACCGCCTACCTTTCACTGGTCAAAACAAAAACAGACCATTCAGGACCAGAATGGCAACTAAGAAGGAGGAAATAGCTGCTGCATTGTTGTCAGAAGAGACAGCACTTCAACATAGCATGATTCCTTAATGTCTGATGATATAGTAAGGTTATTTTATGATCTAGTTCATGAGATATCTTACAAATTGTTCCATTAAGCAGGACAATCAAAAGGCATCTGCCAATAGTCTCCAAGCACAAAAGATCCTTCAGCATTTTCTCTTCTGGGCTCATTCAGTGCAATGTGAGGTCAGGCTCTTCCTAAGACAGATTGACGTGCCCTCCTTCCCAGTAATTGGCTGCGGAAACCGTGAAAGTGTAGAGTAATTGCATGTTGCTTTGTTTTAATTAGTGCTGTGGCTTATTGCACACTGCCTCCCCAGGTGGCCTGTAAATCCACCACACACAGAACAGCAAACAGCCTCCACTGGTCTGCAGACAGGCAGTGCATCACTTTACATTAAACGCATCATTGCTGGATTAGTAAACATTTCACATTAACATCAAATAGAATGTGACCCTCTGAGGTATTGAATTATCTAAATATCCTGTCATATTTTGTAAAGAAAAAAAAAGTTTGTTGTCTATCACTTCAGATCTGTTCTGTGATCTTCACTAAATGTACATTCATCTGATATGTGAGTCAGCCAGTTAAGATTTAATGTATTGGAAAAACAACCAGAGTAATTATGTGCTTTCTGCATACGTGGTCCAGCAGATATCCACACTGTAGACATTTCCAGGAATTAGAGGTTTCATGTTTTTATGTTTTATTCTAAATAAATAAATTAAGCACATTGCCATGAACTAATTGCTAATCACTTGTAAAGGATATGTTATCCATATAAATACTGAACAGCTGTTGTATAGTGATGGTTGACTGATTGATTCAATGGCTGATGATAATGACATGTATAACACCAGTATCACGTCACTTTTGCTTTTTCCACCCACTGACATCTCCTGGTTAAACAGCTTTCAGATATGTCTGCATGCAATTGTATGTTTAATGGTCTAATAGCAAAGGCATTGGACAATACCACAGACTGGATATGGATGACATGTCTCCATCTCCTCCTGTTGTACAAAAGTGAGGCCAAAATAACTCCACAACAGGCACTGACATGCTAATGACATCATTTGGAGGCAGAGTTTCTGCAATAGAAACCCGCCCTTCCCCTTTCACTAACCAAAGCACATCACTTACTTACAGTGATAAAAATGTAAAATGTGCCCCAGGTGTGTACAGTCCACAGCAGAATAGATTCTTATGGCAGTCTGAAGCAGACACTCATGGTTAAGGAAAGTAAATTGATTCTTATGTTAATATGTATTATGTTTCCTCTCACCAGTCCTCATCTTTTCTGTCAATCATGGTATTTTTTTTTTTTTTTTTGCATCACATAACTAATTTAAACTAAATGTTTCAAACTAAACATCGAAATGAGTCAGCATGATAAGAACTCATTTGATGTGTCATTTATTTGACAAGGGAACAGATGAAAAACAGAAAATATAGCAAACAATTTACACAAACACTTCTAGTTCTAATTAACATTACAGTCCAGGCTCTGAAAACCTCAATAGGCACTCGTTGACATGCTTTACAGTGTTTGGTATCAAAAAAAAAACTCTAACTCCTCTCATCTGAAAACAACTTGTTGGTGTCAAGTAAGGCTTAATGGAATAAAACCATGTTGAAACATGCTTTTAAAATTCAAATTTATTCATTCAAATTATTTTCCTGCCACAGTTGCCTGCTGCTTGGCCCGTATGCCCTCACGTCGATGTGTAGATGTCTTCCTGATAGATCACTTCTTGCCAAATCTCTGGGGCACAGCCATGCTCCAGAGCTGACCTGGGGCAGCTTCCCAGTCACGGGACTGAACCTGATCCTCTGACGCTACTTGCCCTCTGGAGCCTCGGCCAAACCTGTAACGTGGAAATAAATCCAAGTGGAATACAGTTTAAATGAAAATGTCTTTTTACACGTTTGTATCTATTATTTAGCAGAAACAACCCCATAAACAGTGTTTATGTTAAGGCATGAACATGATGATGAGAAAAATCATTCCTACAAGACAGTCATGTTTTTTTTTTGGTATGGTATTTGTCAAATCTAAGGTAAGGAGGAAGGCATGTTAAATAGGACTTGGGTTAAAGGTGAAAGAGACAACATTTTTATTGCATTATTCAAACCTTTACGGCTGAGACTACAACTTAAGCTCTGAACAGGATCTTATCTTTGCTGCAAGCGGAGGCAGCTGGCCTCTAATCCAATTTAACCAGAAATATCAAGTACATAATGTTAAACAATGGTTCATTTAGTTTTTTAAGATATCTTAACATTCAGATAAGGTATTTATAATGGCAAATGACTGATAGTTGGTTCAAGTCATTAAGTAAAATTTCAAGCCAACAAACAAAATTTAAAAAAAATGTTCCAGTGTCCAAATGTTACTTCTTTTTACTGATTTAAGACATTAAATCACATCACTTCTAGCTCTAGGAATTAAGGATTTTTTGGTAATTCTGATGTTTTAAAAACAAAAGATTCACTTAATAATCAACAAAATAGGTCACAGCCCTATCTGCATGGCTCATTCAGTACATATTAGAATCATAATCATTCAAATCGAGGCTAATTTCACAAGTTTTATTATTATTTTTTATATTAGAATTGGTTCATTTGGTTCATATTCCTTGCTGACAGGGAAATGCTGGACAGGCTGTTTGAATAGTACGGTGTAAAGTTAAATTTTCTTCTGTGTGTTACTATTTTGATGTGCCCTGCAGTATTTGATAAATACAGCCCAGGTAGCAGCACTGACCTCTGTGGCTGATGGAGGACAGAGTTCCTGGTTTCCCTCTGAGATCCGAGCAGCAGAGCTCTTAGCACGGCAGTCAGCAGGCGATCATCAATGCTGTTATCTGTGTTTTCACTCTCCTGGAGCACAACAGCACACACACACACACACACACACACACACACACACACACACACACACACACACACACACACACACACACACACACACACACACACACACACACACACACACACAGTAAATGTAATGCAAGGTATGCCAGACTGTTTTTCTGGTTTAGTAAAAAAAAAAAGAGGAAACATCAAAAGCTATAACTGTATGCAATTTTGTGTTGCAACACAAACCCTGGGGGTTGCAACTACAGCCAGTCAGTCCTGCTGTGCAAAGGGACCTTGGGTTGTAGCTATCAGAGTACAAAGGTAAATAAACTTACCTCAAACTTACCCAGATATCCCTCCACCCATATCTTTTTTTTTTAACAAATAAAACTCATATCTGCCTGTCTCTGCATGCCCTAATTGGAAAAAGAAACATCACATTTGATCTGAATCCTGCTCTGACTGTCTGATGACCCTGGAATATATCAGAGCATATTTCACACTGTTGCATGAAGAGGAGCGCTATCCAGCATCTCAATTGGTAGTGTGATTTATCTTGTCTCTCTTGATAAAGGACTCAAATATAATTTACATATCTTCTAGCATGGAGAGCCAGAATTTTTCTGAAAACTCTGGCAGCTGTACACAGAATGATTGATACAGTCTAATGTGATAGAAGAGAGAGAGTGAATTTTAATCCTTCACAGAGACAGACATTTTATTTGAACACAAAACCATGTGTGCCTCGGTTATGTTTCAGAGTTTGAGTTTATTTTCAGATGCCGAAATTATTTTTGGCAAATTGCAAATTTTGAAGTAGAGATAGCATGCAACCTGTTTATTTGTGGAATATTTCCATGCAATCACTTCAGATATATAAAAGAGCACAGCTATGATAAAGCCCTACTTTTATTTTCACTGACTTCTTATTGACTTATTTGTTGGACAATTAGTCAATTATCAAGGACCATTTCTAAGTAATTGTTGGTAACATCCTCTGTGGGATTTTTTTGCCACTTTGAATAGTTTTGTATTTTGAAAATGTAGAATTAATATTTATATTTACTAATTTAGTGTTTTGAGATGATATATATATAAATTGAAGATATCACTGTAGGCTTAGGGGAAAAAAATAAAATAATTATATATATGAAAGTAAATAGTTACAACCCTCATCTGTGTTTATAAATCAGGTTGTTGAATATTTTTTGTACCAATACAGATGTTATAAAGTTCATATGATTTCACATCTGTATTTGTTTTATTCAATATTTAAAAAAAGAAAATGTATGTTTTCTTGACACAGCTTCACATTTATAAAAAAGTAAATTAATTTAGGTTTTTGATGGGTTTGTTGACTCACCAGCCCCAGCAAGTGGTCGACCATGCTCTCCTCTGAGTCTGGCAGGATGTTGTTTTTCTCCAGACCGCCTTGGACGTGAAGAGCCTGACTGACTCCAGCCAGAGTCAGAACCAGAGCCAAAAGAGTTGCTACCGCGGCTGCGTCCATGGTCTCAAAATGGAGAGGAGTTCAGATGAAAGCTGGGGGAAGATTTTCAGATTTTTTCCTTCAAAGACTCTTGGAGAACAGAGGTATGACTGGTCCTGCTCAGGGTTTGGTGTCCTCTTTGGTTGCGGGTCCTGGCTAGCTTTTGTGATGGAGACATCCCCACAGCGACTTATATACACCTCGAGGCCACTGTCCGTTGGGAGAGCTGAGGAAAGACGCTACTATACAAAAGGAAACAGGGGACTGGATGGAGGAAGTACCAGGCACTAATATAAGACTTAACTAGGCCCATTTAGTAGGATCAGGGCATTAGTGATGACTGAGCGCCAGAGTGCATTATTATGTGGCCCTGAGGGTAGTGCAACACAACTCTCACAGTTATTAAACAGATAAATCCCTGCAAATGGACTCAGATCCCCCATTCCCTGTTGTCCAGTAGTCCGCACTGTATGAACAGAGAGTCAATATGGGAAAACACTCAATAACCACTTAATCATGCTGATCAGTTTGGACAACTTAAGTTATCTGATGCTGCAGTGTGAGGAATATATAAAACAAATAAATAATCACATAAAGCAGACAGACAAGAATGAATGAGTGATACATTCATTGTCAGAAGTTTGACAAGAAATAGTCAACATTTGATCCACAATTAACTTTAACTATCAGAAAACCTGGTTTAAAAATACATGTAACCTTTTGTCATTTTTGAAGACTAGGGGGACGCGTTGTTCACCTTTTGATCGCCTTGCTCTACACAAAAACAATGAAGTACGGTATTCTACAGTTAGTATTGTATAGCCTATTACAGTACGTTTGAGCCAACTGAATCAGAATTAGAAGAGGAAACATAAACCATACAATCTGATATGTATTACAGATTGTATGGTCCATTTCAAATGGTCACAGAATGTTGAGTTCGGTTGAGGCAGCATTGAATGGGCCCCTGCACCTTTGTTTATCCTGGGCATGTCACAGTCATGTCTCCAGGTTGTGTTGACCAAACATTGATATGTTATCAAAGATGTAACATTTGGAGCTGATTGAACATTGTATATGGAAGCAGGAACTGCCTTTTTACACATGGTGACGCTATGAGTAAGACCTAATATTTGAATAAAGCATTGTTCAGGATGAGGGAACATTCAGAATTTGAAAACTTTAGATAGTGTGAGAGAGATACTGTATTTACCCCCATTAAATATCCCCATATTTGACCCCAAGGAAAATAGTTCAATAGTAACTCTATTTTTAAAACCTTGATACAAAAAAGAGGAGAGAAATGTTTTCTTGACATGCTGATGAAATGATTTAGGAAGACACTTCTCCCAAAGAACAAAAAAACAACCTTTATTTGTTAAATGTCAGCTTCCTTCATATTGTTCATTTTAAACAAAGACAACTTAAGGCTTGATTTGTGAGGGTGACGCTGGCTTTATTAGTCCTGTTTGTGTGTTCAATTTGTCTGTCTGTGACTCAGTGTGTGTTTCTCTGTGTGTGTAATGATTAGTCATTTCATCAATACTGGGTGAGACGTCAACAGATCATCAAAGTGCCTAATGGGGGACAATCCTCTTAAACTGCAATCTCACACACACACACACACACACACACACACACACACACACACACACACACACACACACATTGAAAGTCTCACTGACGCTGTTAAACTACCATGGTAACCAGAGTGACCTATGAAGAATTCTTAGGGGAATTAGTTATTTTTAATTCTGTAACAATATCATAAACCTTCAGATTAGAGAAACATCTAATCCACCCCATCTCAAAAAGTAACATTTATTTCAAGTCAGTGCTGTTTTGCTAAAGATTATTTTTTATTTCTTTTGGTAGTCACTTCATAAAGCAGAACTCAGAAAACAAGAGTATTTTTGGTTGTACTTCAACAAACCCTGCCTTGGGCGTTTATCTGAACACATCTATACACCAATATTCACCTTTTTTTTTCATAGTGCCACCTATGCTGGTAAAACAGAGGAAGCATTTAGTTCTGAAAAACGAGGCTATACAGAGGTTTTTTTTTTAACCCTGGCTGCCTGTTTTACTCACAACCTGACACCCACAAACATGTGTGGGCTAAATCAATGCTCCTTACAACTATGATACATTTTATCTCATGATCAATACAAAAGCCAAAATGCAGCTATATCCTCAATATGCATTTGAAAGATCTACATAGGTCTTCAAACATGTAGCTGGGGGCTACACAATTTGACTAAAAAGCAGGCGGTACAGAGTTCCTGTTCTTCCATTTAAAACATTAATGTCCATCATCCTCAGTTCTGGAGAAGGTCATCTATGATTTTATCTCACCTTTTTTTTATACTCTACTGCAACCCATGTAAAGTCTTTCTAACACTCTTCCATTGTTTAAGCTGTATAGCTGCTGAACTATAATTGGACCTCTTTGTAGGTACTAAATGAAGGACTTAAAGCTCAGATCAGTGTGACCTACAGTATGCGTCTAAAATCTCTGTTCTGGATATTTCTTGTCATATCAACAAATAATTCAAGTCACACTACAATGTTATAGTCAACATTTAAGTTTAAGTTCTTAAGTTCTCTGATTTTTGTCTCCATCTAGTGATCTCTTAGTGAACTGCCAATAAACACTGCAGGCTAAGTGTCAAATGTTCTGCATAATACTGTAATTACACATCTTGCAATTTCTGATGGGTTTATTTTGTTACATTTTATTTACATGTTAAAACAGTGCTGCAGACATAAAATAAATAAAAACATTGAATCATGAAAACAAAAAAACAAACAAAAAAAAAGGGGGAACATCAGAACAGCAACAGGAGCTTCATGCAGCTAATACAAGATTGTCCAGCAATACCTTAAAAACAAGCTGACTCTTCATGCTTTACAGCCACTTCATCCACCCAAAACAGATCCAAAGAAAGTCTGTGTGGTTCCTCACTGACATATTCTGCTCTTCTCGAAATCTTCTCCCCTCTCTTGATGTTGTTGAAGTGTTAAATGATGTTCATTCGTCCGCAGGTGTCCAATAGATGCCTGATGTCATTTGCAAGTTACCTTCTATTCTGTACCAGCAGCTCACAATCTGCCACTTTTACCATAAGGCACTTATATGCAATGAGAAACATCAGTGCTGGAATTAATGCACTGTCTGATCACTACATCACCAAGTGACAAGAAGGTTAGTATATTCCAACTAAAATGTTTGAAAACAAAGGCCATTTATTACACGTCTGAGTGAAAATATTTATACATTTCAGTAAAAAAGTTAAGATGGTCTTGCTTGAAATCTCATAAATTACACATTGTGTAATTCAGTCATACCTACTTTGATAGTTTTTATTAATTAAATGCCCCTTTAAGCCTGGACATTCTTAAAAAAACATTAAGAAAATCAATGTATGGTAGTTAAATGCTCTCATTGTAAATGGGCTGGTGGTTTTAAATTTTGCTTTACTTTTCTGACATATTTTGATTTCCATGCAACAACAGTGCTATAGCCATGGCTGTCACAGGCTTTTTTCTTGCTCTTATTCAAGTTCACCCAGGCAATAAACTGTTGATGAACAGTACACTTGACTGACATATTAACAAAAAATGGAAAAAGAAAGACACAACAAAAAGGCTCTCTTTTAGGAGTTTTTTTTCCTTGTATAAGGAAACAAACCAAAAAATCAGGGGAACTTATTTAATGTCTTTTTCAGCAACCAGCGCGCCTACAACATGTTTAGTGTTCTGCAACATTTTACTTACATACTGGCCCCAATGTTAACCAGCGCTAACAACAAAAAGGAAATCTGTAAAGATAATTTATGTTAGAAAAAGGAAGAAGGATTTTCTCATTGCCTTTTGAAGTTGTCAGTCTTACAGTAGTTAAGGCATGAAGTAGTCTTTGCAACGGGCAGTGGCTTCTTCACCAACATAGTCCAGTGTCTGTATGAATCTAATATGTTGTGCATTCATGCATGTCTTTGGGTTATGATTGTGTTTTGTACTCCTTTGTTCTGCAGGTGAAGTCCATGAGAACATCAGTGCGTCTGCTGCCAGCTGTGAAACATATGAAGCAGCTAAACGTGTTCTAATTCTGTTTCTGGCCTTCAGTATTTACTGTACAACACTGATGTAGATGCACAGTAGACTATGGAGACCAGCCATAAGCAGGCTATGGTATGGGAGAGTATAGATCCAGTCTCAGTGTAACAGGCCACCAATATGTCAGTTCTGACTCAATACAGTGTGCACAAGATGTTAGATCTCAGTCTGTGTGCACCGTCATTAGTTCCAATGCAAAGACAGTATGGGTGCCACACACGGTGATTTGAATTGATTCAGTCATTCAGTGCTTCAAAGGGAGTTACGAGGTTCCGTCGCTCCAGTGCGTGGCCCATTCCTTTTTATGAGCGACTCCTGACTTCTCAGTCTGGAACTGTGGCCGGTCCTCACGAGGAATCTTCACCGCGTGGTACTGAGGCAATTTGTCTTTGTAGTGGGCCCGCTGGAAGAAGCCACACTGTGGGTACAGGGAGGAGGGAAACAGGAAGGAGTGCAGATAAAGGAAGGACACCAGGCATGTAGGGGCAGAAAGGAAGGAAAAAAACAAATTATAAACTGGTGGCATATAAGGCATTGATTGCACAAATGCACATTTGTTTCAGCAGCTGGTTGATTTTTCAATATCATGCCAAAAAAAATAGATTTCTGAAGTCTCACTTATTGTAATAAAGTAACTTCTTAAATGAAAAAGTGGATTATCTGTTGACCATGTGCAGTTGAGGTGACTATATAAAAAAGAACATCCACATGCTCTAAGTTTCTAATTCAGCATCAGTCTGTTGACCAAACCAACACGCTCCCAAAGTGCCACAAAGAAAAACTGCACACATTATTACTCACAAAAACACCAAACCACTGACGATAGAAGTTTATTCTGGCACCTGACAAAGTCATTAGGTCGCAAAATGCAGGTGAAATAGGAGTGTTAATAGATTAAAGAGTGCAAGACTGGCACATACAGCTGGTGCCAGAATGAACATGTGTAGAAAATCACACTGCAATGCTAACAGCAGCACAGCACACAGCACAGCAGGCAGCTGAGGGCCCTGACGGAGAGATGGCTGGATGGTGTTTGATCAGCATGGATTAAAAGAAAGAAACCATGCTAAATGATCAGGTCTGAATGCATTGATACAACATTGCACTTTTCTCTAGCAGGTTTTTTTTGTGTGTGTGACAAATAATATTCATAAGAACTGCCTGCCACAATGAGGATACATTCTTCCCTAAAAAGTCAAAGTCTAGGAAAGCAATCAGACATGTGCACAGGGGGTCCATCAACCATTACATTTCTCAACATGTTACAGCAGTTCACATGCTGTCGGGTTAGAGATAATACCTGCAACCTGCCAAAAGAGTTTCCCTTAGGATTAATAAAGAAAATTTAACAAAGGGGTTCTACAAAAATATACAATCTGCAAACGTTATCCATTCTCAAGTGGTTGCAAAGCACAGCTTTCAGTCTAACGAATCTAGTGATACCCATCATTCCTCTGCTCAACAACAACATCTGTGTGCTTTTGTTAGTAGGAGTGCCAAAATGTACTAATATTTCACACTGCAATGACACCACCAGCCAAACCACAGTGGGCTGAGGAACAAAGCAATTTTTTTGGCGAGTATGTTTACCGCTTGAAGGAAGAGAAGGAGGGGAGAGCAGGCCAGAGTGAACGTTTTTGTATTATAGTTCTGACGCCTGCTTCTCCGCCTCCGAGGGTTGGACCCCCAAATGGGCGCGGTAGAACTCCGTCTCATAGTGTCGGCGTGGCTCACTGCGTTTGAAGAACCCACACTGGGCCACAGATCACCACAGGAAAGAGATGGAGTAGGGGGGAAAACAGAAAGAAAAACAACAGGAACATGAAATAGAGGGTGAATTTAGGGATTGAGAGAGCCCAGATTGAAATGAGAGGAGAAAGACCAATAGAGATGACACACAGAGGACAAATACAAGAACAGAGGAAAGGAAGAGATGAGAGTGAGCTGGAAGGCATAAAATGATTACAGGACAGGGCAGAAAAAAGGAGATGGAAATAATTGGACTACCATGACAAGTGATGAGACAGTTTGAATGGCCAGTGAGGTGTAAGGACGGTTAATGAGACTGTAAATCCTTTAATCTACAGTAATATACTCTCTAGTCTGAATTATATTCTCGCTAGTCTTGATACAACCAGCAGGAGTACAAGTATTACAAGTTGTGTGCGTGTGTGTGCGTGTTACCTTCCACAGTAAGCAGACCAGTAGAGTCAGAAGCAGGATGCCCGCCAAGACGGCTATGAGGATGATCCACCAGGGGATCCAGTACTGGTCAGTAAGACCGGGCTCAGGGTAGATCATCACCGGAACCTGGAGGGGAAAGGAGGATACAATAAATGTATCGCATGAATCAGTAGGGATCATTCAAACATGTTTACAATAATGGGGCTTTTTAAAAATTCAAATCTGAAAATGTACAATATATTTTGTATCTCGGGTTACAATATTCACCCAATAATTTATGAAAAAATTAGTTCTATGGAAAAAAAATCTAAAGAAACCTAAGTACTTTCAATCAAAATCCTCTATTGGACAATATTTCACTTTAATACTTTAGAGGAGGACACGTGTGGTGGATAAATCTGTTTTCAGTACCTGTGCAGCAGCATCCTTGAGGACCAGGTGTTTGATGCCAGACTTCACAGTGATGTTGGCTCTGACCAGCAGCTCTAGAGCACTGACTGCTGAAAAGTCCTGACACACAGAGAGGCAAACAAAAGAGCAACACTTGGTTTCTAGTTGGTAGTGAGACATTACATTCAAATTGTTCAGAGTACTACTCTGCTTTGTTCATTCAGACACACGCCTTACTTAATTCTGAGGACAACACTGTTTGGTGAATCAATTCATTTTTTGTTTTTTACTAATAGAGAATGCACCCTTAGACTTATCATATTCAAATCTTAACCAATAAAATGTAAGTAAAGACTTTGGGTTGAATTCGTCACATCCTATGAACTACTTTTACGCTAAAGGGCCATTTTAGGCATTCTTCTTTTTGTCACCAACATTTTCAATCATAACATTCAGTATAATAGTTGAGATGGCTACAACTATGACAATAAGACCGACTTAAACTAACTAACTAAATGAAGTTATAAAATGTATGTTTATGGTTCACATTCACACAATGTGATGTCAGAGGCCGCTTTGAAAAGTGTCCATTTACAAAGTGTGTTTGCTAATCCCATTCATCGACATATTGAGCAATTTGGGGTTTATAGACTTCCCTAAGGGCATGTTGCTGTGGCAGCTGGGGATCAAACCCCTGACCTTCCAGTTGAAATATAATCGACTCTACCACGTAGCCACCGTTAGATCGTCAAAAACATTTATAAAGATGTTCATGGGGGAAGTAAACACCATGCTGGGTTCAGTACTTCTTTTTCGCCTCGTGGCTCTCCAGCTGAATATTAAACCGGCAGCTGCAGGCGATCCAGTGGTCCAAGCTGACAGCTGTATTCACGTGTTTGCTGACTGTCTGAACATCAAAGCCTTCAGACAGGCCTCATTAATCATTCTGTTCCTGTACTTGCTGCAGTTTTCATTGATTGACTTGCATTAGATCCGTGTGATTCCAGCAGCAGCTGTAACAGCTGGACTGAGGCTGAGGTGGAGTGTAATGATCACTGGTTGCTGATGTAATGATTGCAGGATGTTTTTTTTTTTTTTTTTTTACCTCTATGAAGCTGCTGTTCCACAGGCGGGCGTGAATCCTGACGACGGCCTTACCAGAGAAGCTGTGGAGCGGACACTGAAACACAACACAGCGGGCCGACCCCAAGAGACAATCCTAGAGGGACGAAAAGGAAACTGAGCACTCTGGGATTTTTTTTAGAGAACTTAAGCAGCTTTGAAGGTCAGATCATGCATCAATTGTTCTGTGCGTCTGTATTTTACACGTGTTAACCTGTAAAGCATGTAAAAGAAAAAGTCAATAAAAACCTGAGATCGCATCATCTTTTGGCATCTCTTCGTCTATCTCTTACCAGTTTGAGTGACTTGCGTCTCTCTGAAGCTGCCACAGCTGGAGTAGTTCGTCCCACGCTGCCTTTGGTCATCACTTGACCTTCTCCTCTGAGTGGGAGCGGCGCCTCCGTCCACCCTGGTGGAGGAGACACATTCATACATGCAGAGCTAGATCAGTCTCTTAAAATAACTCATCTACGCTTAAAAGAAAGAATTCAAACGTCATGTTACCATAATGTTGCTGTGTAGAAATGAACAATGATAATGTTACGATTCAATTCTTAATGACGACGTCATGTAAGTTCACATGTAACGCTCACAGAAAATGCCCTTTAAAAATGTCATCACTCCTTTTCTACATTTGTTTTAACTGGATGGAGAATGCTATAGAGTTCATGAAAACAATACCAGTTCTTTTGTCATCTCAGAATTATATTTTTTGCATGCATAACACTTTGAATAACAGAAATGTATTCAATAAAAGAAACCAACTAAAGTAGAAGGTCAGTTTAAACTGAAAGTTGATCAAAATACCCTCATTGAATTGTTAGTTTCTTAACTGAGGAATTCACAAATGATGGACGTGTGATTCACAAGCAAGTATGAGGAAGTTCCCTAACTGTGTCTCTCAGATTTTTTAACCAGCTCCTATGCTAAGCTACAATAAGATACTTTCACATCAGTTCACTCAGTTTGAGAACTGTCCACAGCAAAAAAAACAAATTATTGAATAGACTGTAACAGTACATACAGACTACCCTAAGTTTACTTTAGATTTAAACAAGTTGTCTCAGGTAGTTTTAATATAAGATGTCCACTCAAAGTTATACGAAAGCTCATCACTGCTTACCCCCTCATTGACAGGCTGTGAAGGAGCTGCAACTGAGCTCCACTCCAACTCCAAAGGATTCAGCGCCCGTGTCTGGGTGCACTGTGTGTCTGGGTGACCCTCAAACTTTAAGCTAGCAGGATACAGGAGCCATTTCTCATTGGCCAGCTCGTAAGGCCACATGATGTTTAAAAAAGCTGAGCCGAGCGTCTGCAGAGCTTGTCCTTGATTAGCAACCTGAATATAAAAAAAACAACAAGAAAACAAACTGTGATTGGCTGATTTCTTTCTTGCATGATATTTGTGAAATACAGATACATCATACTGATAGTGGAAATAGTTTGCTGAGTGAGAGACAGGCCGGTTTCTCACCACAAACTCAAAGTCCAGTGGACTGCCGACATCGTCGAGGCTCTTCATGGCGCTCTCTCCCCTCACTGTCCCGCTGAAGAACAGCTGGTGAGGATGAGCCAGCCTGCAGTAAAACAGCAACATTAGAGGCTCAGACAGCTGGGTACACACAACAGTCTATGATGACAGCAGTTCCATTTTTATTTTTTATAGAAGAACCGCTAGCTGAGCTGCTTTAACCCATGAGATCTCCAGAGACATGATTAACTATATTTAGGTTTTTTTGTCAACAAAATGTTCTGTGAACTCAAACTGAAACAGTACTTAAAGAGGACTCAGTCTTGTGGTCCTGTTTTACTTTATCTTATTGTATGATAGTTTGTATCCTGCATCCTGTTGTTGAGTTTTATGTACTTTGAAGTTCCATCTAGACTAGAGACAGGCATTGTAAATCAGCTTAGGCTATAAATGCTGTGGTGTGTGGCAATGGTTTACAATGGTGTACAAATTAAATAAAACAAACCCTAATCGCTAACAGTGTTAGAGAGCAAGAAGTTTGACCCGCCTTAACACACAGCAGCCCTTATAGGAGCCAACCACACATCTTTCTATAAATTGTGTCAAAAAATGTAACATTATCCTGAATATCTCAGTGTAAACGTTAACGTGGAACAGACCGCAACCCTAACCCCCCTGAATCCATGTGCTTTAAGTCACACAACAAGGAATAACAGGGTGCCAATGAGTTTAAATCTGTGTGAGAAGCAGAGGTAAATGTGTATGTTAATGTTATTTTACTAAGTAAGTTAAGCAGGCTGTTTGAGCCACATGCAGTCATAAACATAGATGGAGAAACAGTGAAGGTGTAACTCACCCGCTAACAGACAGAGGGAGCTCTATCACAACTTTAGCAAAAGCTGTGACTGGTTCCAGGTCAGGCTGCTCGCTGATACTGAGGACAGAACAGTGAAAAACACTGAGATGACTATGTCGTTGTGGTTTCAACAACTTAATGTCCATGAAGTAACACAGGTAGTCTAACATAATGTGTAGGGTGTGAAGGGCTCACGTTGTCAACAAGAGATCTGCTGTCAGCTCAGTGGTCTCAATTGTGATGTTGGATATGCTCAAGTTGATGGTGAACTTCAGCTAAAAAGGCAGCACGTACATTGATATTAAAGCAAAGTTTGTTTCACTTTGAGGTAAATTAAATGGTAACACCAATTCTTTTAACTTAAACCAAATCCACAATTTAAGAGTAAGGATTTGCATCTCTTACGTTAGGCCTACAACATTGTTCAATTACTTACTTTAGTATCTCGTTTCACAGGGTTTCCAAGGTCACACTCAACTTGCGAGCCATTCTGGTTGGCTTGACATCTCATCTAGAAGTCGATCCAGATCAAAATAAATATTATCAGTGAGTAGGAGATATCCAAACAACAGTGTGTCTGCCACAATAATCCACTTATCCATGACTTGTTACAAAAGAGATTTTTCCGGTCAGAGTTCCATACCTGCGGTGGGATCCTGGAGCCGGAATACGACAAAGTGTCAGGAAGGGTGATGAGAAGCTGAGCGGCGTGGGCGTCATCTCCGTCCTCCTCGGGGTGCAGGGGGTCAGAAGGCATGTTGGTGACGGTGATCTCCAGCACCACCAGGCGATGATCTGACAGGGAGAACACCTGCACATCATCCTCGTCTCTATGTGAAGGGGAAGACAAAAGAAGGTCAGATTAAATAGAATCGTTGAAGTTTATTTATATTAAACTTGTCTCAATCAAGTAATGACTTTTAGATATATATCAGCTACACAACATCAACACAGTGACTGGTTAATTTGCATATTAAGATAATTATATTCAACATAATAATGATACATTTATATTTAGCATTATGATGTATTAATAAAGGGCTTAGCTAAATTAGTTCTGTATTATCAGGAATCTAACAAGCTACCCAGACTAATAAAATAATTTAAATTAGCTTCCCTTTATCAGCTGCAACATGTAAGTAATGTTTACATGAATGCCTCAGCGATTAAAGACTATTTCTACACTATAGTTTAACAACTATTACTTAACAGATCTGAATTCTTCAACAACAGTTTTCTTTGAACATTAGCTCTTTATATTCAGTTGTAAAATCCCTCGTGCTTTGATTTAAAATACTTCAGACATTTACTCCTTTGTTCATCAGGGAGACTCAACCATTAATGAAGCCATCAGTATCAAAGTATAAATCCTTTAAGAGAGAAGTTATGTATCACCTGATACAAAGAAAGGCACATCAAAGTCATAATCAAGAGTGTGTTAAGAAAGTGATATTCAGAAGAAAAACAGGCTTCCTAGTTTTGTGGTAAATGTTCATAAAGTTACCACTGCATTAGCATAATTGTGTCAGGGTGTAGATTGCAAGGCAACAGTTTAGATCATAAAGGCGAGCAGCTCACACAAACTGGGATCTGCAGATACTAACTTTGGCAGAGGGGTGAAGAGGTCAGAGGTTATGGGTGTTGTTCCAAACTGGTAGCTCAGCTTCAGGTTGCTCTGGCAGATCTTGTCAATGCCGCATCCTTCACGCAGGAAGTTCACCTTCAGAGGGAAAACGAGACGGACAGGAAGTTTTTACTTCAATCTATTAATCTTTTTTTTTCAAGAATACATTTTATTTATTGAGCGCTTATAAAAATACTTAATGACAACCTTACAGAGTTACATAAAGACGAAGCAAATGAAAGGAATGAAACATTAAAATAATGACACAAAAACTAACATTACCGACAAAAAAGCAGTTCTGAAAAGACGTGTTCTGATCGGTAAAAGTGCATGCTATATCTATTTCCAGGTTTTATATGCAAGTTACCAGGATTCATGCTGGATACTTTTACATTAAGCAGTGACTGAATTTAGGAATGAAATAATCAGCAATCAATCAATAAACTGAAATTTAATAGCAAAAAGAGTCATTTTGAAGCCAAGGTACAAAAACAAATCACTGTGCATGGCTTCATAAATGTAGATGTTTTGTAGTTTTCTTTGTCTGTTATGGTTAAAAGTTATTTTTGAAACTAGGGGGAATAAAAAAATCAATCACTGAAAGTTGTCACTTAGGCTCCAGAGAAACTGTTTTTCCAATTTTCAAAATGAATGAAATGTCTATTAAGCAACGGATTTTAAAGAGACTAAAGGGAAAAATACAGTAATACAGCCTGTGGATGTTTACGTGAGAAGATAAGAAGATGAATCAGCAAAGGCTCCAGGAAAAGATGCTGACTCAAAAACATCTCAGGTAAAAGTTTCTCATAAGTGTGAAGAAGAAGTGTATATTTAACTGAGGCTTATTATATGCAACCAACAAAAGTAACAGAACCAAAGAATCTCCTTGTGTATTGTCATTGTGCTAAGTTTCTTTCCTTGAACGAGCCTGGATAACTGCGATTAACAACAATTGATTTGAAGTGTCTCATAAAGCCTCCCTTGTTAAACCACCAATCTTCGGTCATGTGCGGTCCATAAAATGAATCCCAACCATGAACTACTTGTTCTTCCTTTTTGTTTCAGACCTCAGAGTGCAGCGTGTTGGAGGGGGAAACGTTTAACACAGGCGCCAGCTTCTCCAGCCTCTTGGTCCCCGAGTGTCTGCGTGGAGGTACAGGCTTGATGGTGTGAGTTATAGCCAATGAGATGGGACGCAGTTTGTCACGTATGTTCTCCTGCAAGGTTAGAGATTATTAAAGTGATTATTATACAAAATATTTAGCCAAGGAGTTAGATTTTATTTTATTTTTTTCAGCTTTGGGATTTGTATTAGTTAAAATATTTATACAAAAATATCGACAGCACACACATTCCGAAAACTTAAGTGCTGGGTGCTGAACAAAAAACATGCAAAGGTAGAAAAATAGTCCGCACAACAGAAGCTGCTCCAAATAGTGAATATGTCTGATGAAGGGGCGAGGGCTTGACACGTTACAGGTGGTAATTTTTCATTAAATTAAATTTCATTGGAGCGGCTTCTGGTGTGTGGACCTTAAAATATTGATAGAAAAGTAAACTGGTGAATGGTCCCAAATCTCACAACCAGTTTCAAACCATCAAAAAGCATTTGCTCCACCTTTTAAAGATTATTAGATTCATCAATTGTGTGCTTTAAGACTAAATGAATAAAATTACAGGTTACTGTTGAAAAAAAAAACCTCTGAAAGTAATAAAAACACATTGTTTTAACGCCACAATAAATACCTAAAGTTAATGTTTCTCAAGAACAAATCTTTGTTACTGACATGAAGTTGGAAGAGAGCAGTGGTGCACACAGGATGACGCTGCCGATGCATCTCCACCTCCTCTGTCTGTGTGTACTCTGGCTCCAGAGAACTGCGACCCAGGAAGTTAACACGGTGAGGGAGTCCCAACTTCCTGCGCTCCGCGTCGGCTTCAAAGTGCACCAGCAGGGCTTGAAAGGAGAAAGACAGGAGCGATGCATGGAAAGAGGCGGTGGCATTGAAATGTCAGGACACACACAGAGAGCACTTAAAGAGCCCAACACTAGGGGCCCAACATATATGAAACGTCCATCTGAGGGAATACAGCATTACACAGCTGCGATTTAATCAAAATAAGGTCTAATGTTACTACACAGATACGGTTACTCTTCACTGTAAATAGAAATGACTCCTGAAGACCCAGATGAGAGCAGGTTGGGACTCACTCATGTGTGGCGAGTAGTGTTCTGGGTGGGCTGTGAAGGTGAAGCAGGCCTTGACCTCCACGCTAAAAAAAGGCAGACGGTGGAGAGTGAAAGAAATTAGCTGTGTTAAGAGTTTTTTTTGTCACAGTAACCCGTGTAGAAAAAAAAAACACATTTGCAGATTCTGTTATATCAAGTTCTCACCAGACTCCTTCTCTGTCATTGCAGTTGTGCTGTTCCAGATCAATGAAATAAGGGTCAATAGATATATCTCTAATCACATGGATGACTGGACGGGACCTGAAGGACACAAAACATGTCCGTGGGAAAAAAGATCAGTTAAAGAATAAATAGCAAACATGCAGGATTATGATTTAAAACACAATGTATATTTCATGTCCATACTTCCATGTCTGCCTATTGGAATTTCCAACAGCTACACACTATTTAAAGCTACAGAGCTTAATGTTAGACCTTTACACTTTTCAAATAAAAATGTTCTCACCTGAAGAGAACCACTGAATTGTTGAGAGAGCCCACTGCAAGATCTGGGTATTGATTATTGTCAATATCCAAACCACCTGAGATGGAGTATCCAAAACGTCTCACGTCAAAGTCACGGCCATCCAACACCTGACGGGACAAAAAAACGCATAATCACAAGGTCAATTTTTTTCTTTCTTCCTTCGGCTTTATTATTCTTCGTTGTCTCTTCCTTTTTCCAGTTTTCTAAGTGAAAAGCGGAAAGTTGCGACTCACCTGAGCAGGTTTTGTTTCTATTCCTGCATCCGAGCCTCTGTAGATAAAAACTTTGCCATCTCCATCGAATGGAGCCCCCACAGCAATGTCTGAACACATGATGGAAAAAGTAGAATCAAAATAATAATTCACATTTCAAATAAAGAACAAAACAAAACAAAATGGGCAGAAATTTAAGTGCTTCAGTCCTTTTCCCTTATGGGGCTATGTAAGTGAGATACGAAAGCTCAACCAGGCAGCGATGAACCATGTGACAAACCATCACTCTCACCTCCGTATCCGTCCTGGTCCAGATCTCCGATGTTGCTGACCGTCATTCCAAACATGGAGTCGTAGGTCCCGTTGAGACGGATGGGCCGAGCCTGGTCGTCCCAGTGACCGGAGGGGTTCAGGTACACGTATACAGCTCCACCAATCTCTGCCTTACGGTCGAAGAAGTTAGGAGCTCCAACAATCAGATCGGTCCAGCTAGAGACACAGAGACATAGAATTAAAATCTAATACCACAATTTCAGAAATAAAGTTTTCAGAACTTATTACCCATGCTTTCTCTTTATCTTAACCCCTTTTGTTATTACATTGTTATATCAGAAGCAGAAAACTACTTTTTAAATCTAGTCATGTACAGTTTTGTACTTCATGTCATTTTTGGGGCAGTTGTACATCTTACGTATTTCCATCTGCTTTTTATGCTACTTTTTAGTTCAGAGGTAAAAGCTCTACTGCTGCCTTTATTTCACAGCTGGTTAAATTCAATTGTCAGGACAAAACTAGCAGTAGTTTAAGCAGTTTAAGTAGCTCCACATCCACTGGCTGCAATTACATACTATATTATATATTGTACATTATTTTTTATCCATAATAGTTCTCCACTTAACCAGAACTATGAGTACACTGACGGGACCTGCTGTATGTTCTGAAATGTAAAGCACATTTTGCTGAAAACTCTTTACATACTTTTCCGTCAGTAAAATGTTGAATGTCAAACTTTAAAATGTGATCAAATATTTTCACTCTGGTATTTCCTCTACAGCTTAAACAGGGGGTGGCAGTTGTATCTGGTAGCTGGAGAGGTGCCAGGGCACTGCCGAGGCGCCCTTTGGCAAGGCACCGAACTCTCAACTGCACTGCAAGTGCTCTGCACCTGTTTGCTTTCATGCAAAAAGTTTCATGCACAGTGATGTAGTAGTGTGACATCTCTCCACTAATGTCCGCAAGTCCTGTTTGTGTATGTGCGTGTTCGGGTGTGAGAAGCATGTCTCTCAATAACAGAGTGTAAACCAGAATCTCCCCTCAGGAATTAATAATATATTTAAAGAAAAAAAACATTTGTTGATTATCTATTCCCAACAATGGTCACTCCTGTGTATCCCCAGTATTTCCTCACCCGTCTCTGTTCAGGTCTGCTGTAGCCACCGAGTACCCAAATGAAGACGCCAGCTCCTCCCCCCAGAAGATGTGCTGTGGCACCAGCCGGTACACGTTATCCTTCTTCAGCAGCACCACTGCTCCTGTGTGATTGGCCCGAGGTGCGCCCGCTACGAAGGTCAGCTCCCTGAGGCTCATTATCCCCATGGCCGAGTCAACGGAAAACCCTGTAAAAAGAGAGAAAGAGAGAGGAAGGAGGTAGAGGACAGGATGGAGGAGAGGGTCAGGGGTTAGTATTGACCATGGGGCTCAGAGGATCATCTCGTCTCAGTGTAGCAAAGTCTGCTCATCTTCTTACTAATGAAATGTGTGCCTTAAGTGACTATTGATTTAATGCCAAACTCATGATGGGTGTAAATGTCCTGTGTGCTGTGTTTGCTATAGTGGTATGCTTGTGTTTCCAATGGTTGGAGGAAAAAATGCTGGTTGTGACGTTAACAGGGGGAGATGTATGGAGCTTCTCCTAATGTCTCATGAGATTCATGATGCTAATGCTTTGTATCGGCTGCCTCGAGAGAAGGCACAATGTAAACATAGTGGGCCGACGTTAATCAGATTTATATCCTGAAGCTATTCCTCTTTTGAGTGGGTGTTGGGTGTGTGTCTGTGTCTGTGTGTGTGGAGGAATGTGAGGATGCATATAAATCAGGGTAAGAAAAGGGTTGAACAAGTGTGTGTGTGTGTATGTGTGTGGGCTTCATAACAGCATTGTGCTAAAATGTTCAAATGTAGCTGTAAAAAATAGCACATCATATCAAACATTTCACCTAAGCAGAAGCAACCGCATGCATTTGCTTCAGCAGTTTAAAACCATGCAGAGGGTGTGAAAAGGAGGAGGAGAATCTATCAGGACATTTAGACAGGTCTGGTTGGGTTGGGTTGGGTTGGGGTGGGGTTAGGGGGGCATTTTGTGGCCCTGAGTAAACATGCAGGGGGGGATGTGTGGGGGACATAACAGAGACAAACAGTGAGCAGCTCCAGGGTGGCAGGTGTGGAATGCAACAGTCTGCATGGCAGCTCCTGTGAAAGCTGATGGACAGAGACAAAGGTGCTACTTTTTCCACACGGGGTGGCTTTTTAACACACAGGCTCGCTACAAGGTCGCCTCTATAAAATCAAAGGGGACTGAAAGCTTTATGCAGCTGAAGGTTTTCTAAAGAGTCCCTGCAGTCGTCCTGATCCCCACCGACTCAAGTCTTTGCACTGTGACTGTGGCACATATTGTACATTAATTTGTGCTTATCTGGTTAGACTATATGTTCCCATGTTTACTTTTTAAAAATGTATAATACATTATGTGCAAAAGTATGGTTTTTTAACCATATGCACTTTGTTTTACCTAACAATAAAGACTGAAAATAATGAGCTTCGATGTTTTTAATTACACTGTGAAAATAAATAACAAGAACAGTTGTCTATCTTGTTTTTTTTTAATTACTACTTTAACAACCCTTCAACTGGTTGTTGCATTTGAAAACCTGGCAGACAGCCAAACACCCTTCAGAAACGTTGTCTTTCTTTTCTTTATGATTGGATTTGATTTGGCCTTGATGGGGGTAAAAAACATGTTTGCGTTCTCATAGCAAAACCCTGCTCTCCGGAATCGTATTGTTGTATTAAACCATAAAAGAGGAAAACCACTAAACCCCTTTGACACATTGCAATTAATTATAGTGCAAAAAAATAATACTGAGAAATGGCTCCAACACTGTCTCTCTGATTTTAAGTTAGCATGCAAAGGTGTGCCGCATCATCTGGTTAGGATCAATGGAAGCATGTGAGTAATAAATGAAGGCTAAAAGGTCATGTGGGAATTAGTGTTGTCAAGGAGACGGCTCAATATGGAGAACGGGAGGGTAAGCGGTATGTGAATAAAGAGATTTATGGCAGATCCTCACACTTAGTGAAGAGTAATAACTGGATTCCCTGCAATAACAATAAATATGTCGTGCTAGGCCCAGGACGCATTTCAACACAGAACTTTCGAAACAAACCATGTTGACATAACAAGCTTTAATCCAACCTTTTCTTTCAGACTTAAAGGCTCCAAACAACTGTGTGATAGAAATCCATAGAATTTCCATAAACTCATATTCCCATGAGGGGACTTTTAGAATCGTGTCACTTCCCTCTGGCGCCACCTGCAGGTCGAAGTTTGGATTGAAGAATCATCTACAAGATGATTTAGTGGTGACACTCATGGTTCCCAGAGGATATATTCTAACAACTGTTACGTCTTTGAGCTTTCCTCTCACCATGAGGTTGCAGTTTGTGATTTTAACTTCAAATGTGTCAAAAGCTATTTCACGTATCGCCCTGGAAATAGCTGTTTTTTCACTACCCTTCTAGATGACCAAAAATATCTGCGGGGGCTCCTCATCTTTTCATCTAGCAACATCATCTGGTCAACTTGCAATTGTTGTGGCTCAGATCGTGCCCGATTTTTTGATATGTGACCAAAAACATGACGAACAAATAGCATTTCCATCAACTGTAAGTATACTTTGATTTAAGTGCTAACTAGAAATGATTAGCATGCTAACTACTTAAACTATGACGGTAAACATTGAATTGTAGCTGCTGAACATCAGAATGTTAGCACGCTAGTAGACAGTAAGTTCTGTTTTTAGTAAACCTTGTCAGTACAACTACAAGAACAACGGACCAGAAGACCACCACCACCTGTTAAGCTTCTTACCAACACACACACATGCAGACCGACTTCGACACACTACAAAAAACAGATATCTATTGACAGACAAACACCCTGCTGCTACTCAAAGAGAAAACCATCTCCCTTACATTGGCGAATAACTAGCCAGTTTCAGAAAATTAAAATAAACATAATGAAAAAATACAACATTTTAAATCATAACATTTAAAAAAGTCATTGTTTAGCAAAGCTTTGATGGTTGTCTCTTTGTAACTGCAAAGGTGATCAATCCCAAGAAGTACATAGATCACACACTAACAATCTATATACATAGACACGAGTTGGAATTAGCAGAAAGGATAAGGACAAAGGCGGAGAAGAGTGAAGGACTACTTCCACTACAAGCCCAGTTTGCTCCAAACAAAAACACCTCAAGCCTACAAACCTAAGTAGCTATTATGAGCTACATCCTCAAACGGTGTGGGCCGGCTGGAGGGCTCCAGAGTTTTGTACAGCAGTGCATCTTCAATGGGGCTAGCCATGAACAAGAGCCCTATGGCCCGAGAGAGGAACAGAGAGAGAGAGAGAAAGAGAGAGAGAGAGACAGAGGGGAGGTGTGTAGGAGGGAAGTGATCGGGTGGTGAAATGGTGAGGGGAGAAATAAAGAGTGAAAAAAGAGAGAAAAGAGGAGAGGGAGGTGCAGGTGAGACAGGCTGTGACTGATTGTTTTTTGTCTTTGTGGTGCTGTAGTGGTTTTCTCCTGCAAAACCACCTGGTACCTGGTGGAGGGACGACATCACAGGCTCAGATTGTACCCTATTGCTGTTTCCCATCCCTGTAAGAAGTATTTGACAAGTTTGTTTCAGAAGAGGTGGGGAGGTTGGAATCAGAATATCCTCACTTGTTTTTGCTCAAAAAAGAAGGAGGCTTAGTTGAGCTAATACTGGCATCATAAGAATTCAAGCCAGGCCGATGTAACCACTGGACAATTTTCACATGTCCACCCACATACATTCACATGGGAAACTGTTCAAAAATGTAGCTGTAGTCAGATTTAGGGCTGGGTGCGTGTGAGTCATACACAGATATGCTCATCCAGAAATAATCCTGACCAGTTAGAGGTAGTTTGCTCCTCTTTTAGCTCCTGTGATTCACAGCAGAACATGTCCGTGTACAGTCTGAGCCCCGGTGTCGCCCCCTTCCCCGGGGCCCTCTCTTTCTCTCCTGTGCAGAGGCAGCAGTGAGCAGGGAGGGCAGATCCTACCCAGGTAACTGTGGTGGGGCACAGGGATGAGCTGGGCATTAAGCTGTTTCTGATCTGCCACTTCGTAGGGTCCGTCGTCATAGAGACCGAGGTCAAGCATAGTCTGGTTAAGGAGTTGGACACGCATCTCTCCTGGAAAGGAAAAAGGTGAGGTCCACAGCAAAGACACAACAACACATTGGCAAACATTCACTTTTTAATGTTCCATTCATCCCATGTCCCAATTCTGTCCTGCAAACGAATCACTCTGTTTGAGCAGTTAGAATACAAAGAAATCAACTTACTTTCATTTTTTATACCAACAGGAGACAAGCCAACATGGCTTATACCTCCATCTTTATCTCAAAATGACATCTTGCACAGGGAATTGATAAACTTCAAGATGTGCAACGTTGTTCAAAATAACAATGCTTTTATGGTAATTTCTCTGGATTTTCTGTCACCTATATGGAGGATCTCCATATTTGTGTGCATGCATAGTAAAAGAAGAGACAGCACACTCAAAAACTTACTGTTAAAAATATCCAGTTTAAGTTAGCTTCATTTTGTAACTGTAATGACTGTACAAACTCAAAACCAGCTCAAACAGAGGACTGTGCAAACTTTAGTTGGAACAGGCTGATGTGATCACTCATACACACACGACACTTTCTATCCATCCTTATACATATTCTGCACGGTGGAAACAGCATTATACCAGGCATGTAAGAAAATAAAACAACATTATGCAAAATCAGAAACATGAAGAGCATCTACTCAACACAGCATTGATCTCATGTGGCAGTAGAAAATAAATCAATCCTGTAACTGACTACTGCACCAGATAAATCTCAGCGCTTTCTGTGCACAATGCTGCTTTGCATAATTTTTCTGTCCAATCACTAGATTGCTTTACAAATCAATTGGATCTCTTTTAATCTCTAGCAGTATTGTCCTGTTAATGGAAATTAATTCATCAGCTAACATAGCCTGCCTCTATGAGCATATTAGCTCATGAGGGCCAATAAGTAGTAATGGATAAAAACAATGGGAGCACATAAAAAAACAAGTCAAAATATGACTTTAATTTTTCATCTGTCGGCTGGATGTACTTGCATGCATCTTTAAGGAAAAATATAAAAATATATAGTGGTGTAATGTCAATTACAATTACCCTATGAAACCTAGTGCCAAAAAAATTATTGATTCAAAGGCAAGACAACAATGACATATCTAGATAGATGGACAATCCAACACCTTACCTTTCCAGTTATATGTCCCTGGAGCCCCGAACAGAATGAAGTTGTTGTCTGGAGTGAAACTGACAGACAGGCCCTGCTGACAGAAGCCAAACTGCTCGTGTCCCTGCGGCCGGCCCTCGCAGAACTTCCACTCCCCTCCGTCCAGGTCATCTCGCTCTGTTAGATCCTCGCTCAGGACATAGCAGCGTCCAATCGGGTCGCGAGTCTCTGAAGATTGACTTACACGCTGCCTGAGCTCATAAAGGTGAGCACAGGTCTGGTGAAGGACAAGAAATGGCACAAGAGGTTTTTTTTTAAGGCCAGTTAAGGTGAGAAATCCACTTTTAAGGGTGTGTTGAATATCAGTAAAACTTTGACTTAGAAATGAATGTCTAAAAGTTAATAACAGAAGAATCAAAGCTGAAAATGTTGCGCCTATGTTAAATAATCAATGGGCAGGAGCAGAAAAAAGTTATGTTTTCAAAACAAGAAAGACCTTGCTTCCTGCACTGATGCATTTACAGGCTGGGGTCCGTACTTACCACCACCTTCCCGCCGATCCCCTGACTCTTCACTGTGACTCCCAGCCACTGGTTGTCTTTGCTCTCTCTGTCAAGACTCACTGAGGGAAAAACATACAGAAGGAAATGGCAACCATTAAGCTTTCCATAATGTAAACCAATCAGGAACTAAGCCACAGTTCTCTAGGGGTTATGTGTTGTTTATTGGCACGATAACATGATAATGAACCCCTTGATACAGGAAGAAAAAAAGTTTTTTTCCCAGTTAATATTTTATCAGAATGGCGAGCCAACATGCAGTGATAGTGTCTTGGCAAATATAATAACAGATTCAAGGTGAAAATGTCAAAACAAGGAATTTCCACTAGCAGCATCCTGTATTTCAATTAGGGTATAACACAGGAAGGAGTTGTATTGTGTCTTTCTGTTGGAGAGAACATTGAGGTCAATCTCTTTATTTAAAAGGAAGATTAACTAGTTAATCAAAATTAGTTTCTTTCATTGCAATTAATCAAATGCTATTTCGTCCCTTTAGATGCACCGTTGATAAGCCTCCGCAGTGTCTCCCTGAAGTGGCAGTGATGGAAAAGACACTGCTGCATCTTTGAATGTCTCATTTCACTTCTAAAAACGTCTAGACAGCTCAGTTGATGAGTCAAACGTAATATCTACCTAATGACATCAAACAGTCAAAGCACTCTCAGCTTAAGACAGTAAAACATTTAAAATAAAAGCCTAACAATTTTTATTTATAAATGCAAAATAAAAAATAGATTTAATCACAATTAACAAGGGCTGTACTAAAATAAAAACGATATGGCAATATATCTTCATGTGCTCCTTGCAAATACATGTATCTATGCAGATGTTGCAGAATCTATACGGCTGCAAAGCTCTGATGACTTTTTTCAAAGACAATAGGTGCAGTTCACAATAACACCGTAGCCATAGCTATGGGATTAAAATATGTTTATGTATTTCTAGGACCTCTGAGGATCTGAATTTAAGTGTCTTAAGTTGTAGGATCCTTTATATGCCTAAAGAACAGCCGCTGTAGGGAATTCTGTGTCGGACATTATCCAAAATCAATATATATCACGATATGTATGAAATACCTGGCCCTACAATTAGCTATTGTACTTTTGCCATTAATGGCAATAAAACAAATGTAATTGTTTGACAGCCTTCAATTAATAGAATCAAAACCATTTTTACAATTCAGCTTGACATTTATCAGGATAGCAGAAATTTCTGTGGATAATAAACTTATTTGATGAATCTTTTGGCTATACAACATTCCTCACCATCTCCATCAATATCGACCCTCTCACAGTCGTATTCCTCGGGTGTGATTGGACACTTGAACAAGGCTCCCGGCCGACTTCCCTTCAACAGGCCCTGCCCTGCTGCCTGTGGTGCCCCCACAAGGATCCTGGAGGGAACAACACTGATGGTTATTTTCATTGCCTTATGTCAAGAGAGGAGGATATTAGATATTTCACACATGACATGTGGCAGATTTCACACAATGCCTCAGCTGACCCGAGCTGCCATTACTGTTAAGTACAAACACCTGTGGCTAAATCAAGACTATTCAAATCCTGCAGACACCACCTACTGTTTAACATGCTGTCATGTTATCTCTAATCCTAAACTGGTTCAGAACAGCCCCGCAGACTGCATGTACTAGATCTTATTTGTGCTAACATACTGTAGTTTTCACCTGTCATCGCTCGCTATCAAGGATAGCAAACGTTTTATTCTCAGTGAGCTGGTTGCTGATATTTTTGGGTCAGTGTCACTTGCCTCTGCCTTATTAGGAGTGGCTGATTCAGGCTAGGATGCTATTTAAAAACCCAACGTTGAGCCACATTCCACCCAACACCGCCAGCTATCGCACATGCATGGAAGCGAGACGTGGGGAAACAGAGGCACAAGAGAAAAAATGGAATAAAGAGCAAAGTGTAAGAAGAAGGAATGGGAAAGGGATCAAACTCACCCTGGATGCCATAACAATACCAGTACCAAGTACCTTCTGCTTATATATAATTATAACAAAAATGTTGGCAGAGACGGTGCTCAGCTTGAATGAATGAGTAACAACTGGCTCCAGTGCCTGTGTGAAAAGTTCCTATCACCAGCCCCCTCATATCTACCTTGATATGTCCACACTTAAATTAGAGTTATCTCTGAGGCTGAGAGCTATTCTGCCTATAAATACAGTGTAGCAAGCTGATAGCACTGCAAGAAGCCTGCACAGACAAACAGACAGCGAAGTAGAGGTCTGAGTGGTCAGATTTCAAACAGCCACAACTACACAGTCAAAACTTAAATTTCAATAATTTCTTCCATGTAACACATTGTGTTGACTCTAAGATTAATTGCTCAGCGCTGTTAAATGTTACGTTGGCCCCATTTCTTTTAACTCTTATCAGCTCCTAGGTTTAAGTCATCCGAAGCCTGGCTATGGGAAAAGCTGTGATGGTGAAGTAGGTCAGTCAGTCCCTAATTGGGAAATGTATCTGTCTTAGTAGGTTCTCAGTATTGCAAGGTTTAGTAGTTCTGCTTTCAGGATTACTGGTCACAGCAAAGTAACCATAAACAAACCATAGCTTGTAGGTTATGGCGAGTTGAAAGTCAAACGTAATAGACCAGAATATCACATATAGACATTTCTTACTCAATTTTTACCTCAACAATAGCAGCCACATTGACTCTGCATCTTTTTTTCCAGAGTAATAGAATACTTTTGCGCTGACATTCAAAATAAAACTCCCAATACCCACAGACACAAAAACTACCACTGATGACTCTCAGACAGCTCTACTTTCTATTTTCTCTTCCTTCCCTCTCTCTCCTGACAAGTGCTTCTGTTCGGGTGCAGCCGTGCATGCCTCAGGAATGACTCTCTCCTCACCTTAATGACTGGGAACCCCAAACAGCCACCCAAAGTGAAATAATGACCGCCACACATCACTGGTGGTCCACATGAGAAACCCGACCAAACAGTGTTAAGTTAGCGCTAACACACGTCAAACAAAAGAGGCCTGATTCATAGAAAGACAGTACTTAAGAAACCTGATAGAAAACCTTATCCCTACATTCCAGTGAGCTCTGGTTTATGTTTAGTAGTAAAGGTGATACCAAACCTGCCCCTTCCCCCATATGTGAAGATACACAGGCAGGTGTCAGGGTGTACATGTCTGTGAAGCTGTTCTACAGCCAGTATTTAGTGGAGAGAACTGGATGCCCACTTCATTGTTCAGGCTTGAGTCAGATAGTGTGATCATGATCTCCATTGTTCCATTGAATGTGTGTATGTATTTAATATGAGTAGTTGTGGGTATGGACCAGGGTGGAAGATATCAGGGTGATGAGTATGACTGTGACGGTATCTGGTGAAATACCCACATGAACCTAGACACAACAAAGCCAGCACCAGCATGACAGAGGTGTGTGTGTACTTGTGTGTTATATTTACATTGAAGCATCACATATACAGATTAGATAGTACCTCTGGGCATTAGTGCATTCCTTGACTAACAGATTACAACAAGCCTAAACATCTACAGGCATGCAAGAGGCTATTCTAGCTAAGTTATGACATTATGATAAAATTCTGAAATAAAAAAACCTACATGCTGATGTCTAGTAGATACAATTTTAAAATGTCACTTTTACTGCTTTTAAACAAAATCCATTTATTTTGCAATATCCACTAAAAATGATTTAATCAATATGTGATTTATCAGGCTTTCAATCATGCAGGCAATGAGAAGGAATATATTGCTTATAAATGGTGAGATCTTGTCGTAAGCAAAGGCTAAATCAAGAAGGAAAGAAAGGAAGTACCCCAAGGTCCCGTTCTAGGGACTCTATTTTTTCCTTCTAAATAATTATACATAAAAACCTGATTCTTTTATGTTCAATTTGGAGGAGCTCCCTTTGCAAGAACACTCAAAAGCATGTTTATCTATCTCAGCGCATCAATTTTACTGGTTAAAACAATTAATATAGTCATGATTATTAACATTATTTGTCTAACTAATACACATTTTTGGACCAAACAAATCCTGTACAAGCTTTTGTTGCATGCATTTGATGTTTGTTTGATGTTTTGTCCGCATCTAGGAATCATGAATATGGTATAAATATTAAACGTTGTCAAGTTACTGCGTGAAATACATTTGCATCTCCTCATTAGATTGTAATTTATAATCCCAGCCATAGCTGTCATAAAAATCCCCTTTGTTTTCCCAGCTAATCATCACAGACATAGAAAAATCACACACAGGACCCTCATTACACTACTCTTATACACATGTTCATTGAGGGGAGCATGTGCAGTGATCCCAAAACTCATTCTCTCCACTATTCAATCCACCCCTCCTCCATCAAACCCCATACACACACAGACACACAGAAACACACACACACAATTCCATCCTCCATAATGCCTCCCCCTCTCTCAAAACATCTCTGCATGCAGCTTCATATACAAGGAGTGAGAATTGTGAAAAAATTGAGAAAAGTGCAAGTCACCATATTCAAACCTGTATTTTTTCTCTGGATAGGAAAAACAATGACATTTTTTGCCAAATAGTGTTGGCCACATTTGTTTCATCAAATTGCTGACATCCTTAAATACATGATTAAGTCCAGCACTTTACACTGTCCAGGTTACATTTGGACTTAAAATCCCTTTAAGTCAGTTAGATTTTTTTATGATTTTTTTCTGTCGCAGCATGCATGCTCCTTAAAAAACCCTCTAACTCTCTAAAGCGCTTTTCAAAAATGTATTTCCATATACGCCAAAGTTCACTGGTATGAAGCCAAAAACAAGGCTGCATTTTCTGTGTTTCTGTAAAACCACGCCTACATGTAAACACATGAATACACAGACAAACAAGACAAGCAAACATCTGCAGAAAGGTATTTGTTAATGTCAGGAGAATTCCTATTCTCTTTGTTTATATAAAGTGGGGGGGAAAATCAGATATAAATATTTTAACAAAGAGAGAGAGAGAGAGAGAGAGAGAGAGAGAGAGAGAGAAGACTGGAAAGTAGTTCAGACATTAACATGATGACCACCAAAGCTCAATTTCTAAAAGGTTGCCAGCACTTCATCCAAACAATTTGCTTAATGTGAATTGAGCACATTATCAAATATAACAAATATCAGAGCAAAGAGCAAATCAAACTTTTATAGGAGAGTACTAACTTGTTTAAAACACAGCCCTTCCCAGGAATTTTCCAGGCGTGGGCATTCCCAGGCTAATAAAATTCATGAAATGTTAAATCAAATACACCATAAACATTTCCAATGTTTAATTTCAGGGCCATTTCAGTTGATCCTCCCTAATCTGTATGCTCGCACCCGCTGACATCTGTCCGTCTGAGAGCAGCGTGAGGCTGTTCCTCTATAGACAGTGGCTCTACAGGATCAACATGGGGGCCAGGGGCTCTTTGGGCATTCTGTTATCCTGGGGCAAGACTATGACCTATGACCTGGACACACACACACACACACACACACACACACACACACACACACACACACACACACACACACACACACACACACACACACACACACACACATACACACATACACACATATACATAGACCAGCAAATGACAACATGTGCAAGCATGCAGACATTAACAGAGGATTGAGTGTACAAATGGACCAAAGTGTTTGTTCATAAACTCACACACTCCCATTTAGACACAGACAACAGAAGGCTGTGCAACAACTGTGTAAACTATGGATCATCACACCGACTGCAGCCTGTCCAACAACATCCAATGGGACAATCTATCTCATAAAATAGAGCTTTAAAGGCATGGTTCACGGAATGCTGCTTTCACACCTGACTACAATTTCTCTTCTCAGTTTTCCTGATGACAAAAACGACAGCTGAGAATGAGGTGACCAAGCTGTGAATCATCATGTTTTTAACATCTCAACTTGCCAGGCATAGGGGGGAAAAATGGTTGGCTGATGCACATTAAAAGGCAAAAGAGAGACAGAAACAGCTGCCAGGCCATGCAAAAACTCCTTTGGGACACTGTGGTTCACTGCCCACAGATGTGACTCAACTTCCTGCTTAGGCAATTTGTTCAAGGTGATCACAAAGACAGTTTGACGTCAATTTCCAGAAGAATAAAAAACAAATCCCATTTGAATAACTATCCCACATCTAGGAGTCTGTGTCAGGAAGGAGAAGGGTATAAATAGTATTCTTTCAGAAGACAATTGTAACCCCATCCTCACTTCTCATGCATCTTTTACAACCCCTCACTAGCTCACAACCTGGCACACTGCAGATCAATAAGTGAACAGCCAATTCCAGACATAGATGGGCTAATGATTGGCCCTCAGGTCCAAAGTGTAAAGAGGACATAACCCCGACACCATCCCGCCCCTGT